ATTATGCACATGTATCTGTGTTGTAAGCACGTGTCTTGTAATTTGATAAGTTCTTTCCTTTTCTTGTGGAGCGGGCCGAAAGCCTCGGCAGTATAATAGATGCATCTATGGTTCATGTCGGTCGACCCTCGGCAGTGTACACATTATTCTGGATCGGGTCGTACGACCTCGGCATAATCGTGTGTTATATCGCTAGTAATCCGAATATTAGCGAGATTATCCTTCCACTGATGCCTGGCATTTTATATGGTATTCCTTATCCGTTTGATACTGGAACTTGATACATTTGAGCTGTTGAGATAGAATATGAGATTGAGAAATTCACATCTTTAAAAGAATTTTTTGGAATATTATATAACGTATAGTTTTACCCCCATTATTGTTGTTGTGCTTCATATCTGCTTATGATTTATCATATTGTTTTATTGGACCTCTAGTAAGTGTCGATGTCGACCCCTCGTCCCTACTTCTTCGGGGTTAGGCTAGATACTTACTGGGTATGCGTTGATTTACGTACTCATGCTACACTTCTGCACTAAATGTGCAGGATCTGACAGGTTCATTTGGTGGTCATCTTGGCGCATAGGCGCAGTTGCTGAGGAGACTCTTGGTGAGCTGCATTCCATGCTACGTATCGCAACCCACAGAGTTTCTATCGTACTATTTACTCTATCCTGTCTTATTTACATTTCGGACATATGTTGTATTAATTTTGTACTCCTTAGTAAATGCTCGTGCACTTGTGACACCGGGTTTTGGGTATACTCTAGTGATTGTTATGGTTCGGCTTAACATTGTCATCTTTTATTTTATTTCTTACTAATATTTAAGTATTCATAATTTTTAAACGCATTGAATCTCTTACTTAATAAGGCTTATGATTTTAAAAATAATAAAATGAATAATTAAGCTAATAGTTCACTGTTGGCTTGCCTAACGGCGATATTGGGCGTCATCACGACCTATAGTGGGTAGTGGGCCGTGACAAGTGATTTCATTTTTTCAGTCATAATCGATAAAGAGCATCCAATAAAAGATGATTTGGTTCTTCCAAAACACTTGGTTATCAACCCCAAGGGTAATAGTAGTGCATTTAATTAGTTAGGAAAATATTTTCATCATTAGATTAAAACGCAATTTGTGCAAATTATATGATAGAAATTAGAGAGCTATCTTAGCTAGCATAAATGAATATGTTGATCAACTAAATAAAAGGTTGATTGTCAAGTTTTGTGAACAAAATATTTTTTAGTTTTGACTCAGCAGAAGATGATACCAACAATTACTACCGAGAAGAATACTTAAATACTTTAATATCAAATGTCCTTCTATCATCTTCTTACGTATGTTAGTGTCATCGTATACATAATAGACTAAGTTAAAATTGATCTTCCATTATATATATGTTGATTTTGAAGAAAAATATGTCTGTCATGCTATTGAAAAACTTAGATCGCTAAATAGCTTATGTAATAGTACTAGAAGTTTTGACAATAACGTTATACATGCAGAAATTATGATACTGGTCAATGTGTTTCTAAGTATGTATTTATCTACGAAATCAACTTTCGTCTTCCGAAACTAAAGAATATCCTTTAAATTTGTGTAAAAATAATTTTCAGTATGTTTATGTTTTATAATTATTATAATAAATAAAGTACAAGGACAAACATCCTAAATATTGGACTAAATTTACAACAATATGTTTACTTGTACGAATAACTATATGTTGCACTTTCAAGAGGGATATTAATATCGACAATAAGAGTTCTGGTTATGGCAGAACAACCAAAGCATTAGAAGGAAACATCCACAAAAAAACATGGTCTACAAAGAAGTGTTCGGTAAGATATACAATCACATTAGATACCTTTAAACTATAATACATAATTATTTAATTAACATGATTAAATTGATCATTTGTGTAAGTTTTGATGATGTCCTTTCATTTTGAATTCACGTATTACGCTAATGTAATAATATTTTTCGGCATTTAGATGATTGTTGTATTATTATATATATAATTTCTCTCATTAATTAATTTTTTTCTTTCTTCGTGTAAATAAATGCCATGTGTCATAATTAACGTGCAATGCACGTTTATAGATACTAGTAAATGTAAAAACATGAGTCTGGTACTTTCCCAGACATAAGGAAATATAATGCTGGATGAACCGTGATATTTTGTACTAATTAGTAATTACGTTCAAAGCAATTTGATCAGAAACGAACATTTTATTCAAATTATTTCATTTCATGAAAAGCAAATTAATCTTTGTTTTTGTGGGGTTTGCTCGGTAAAACTTTTCAAAAGTTAGTTGGACTTTAAAAGATAGCACTAAAAGGAGTGAAATCTTAATTAGTTAATCTTGGAGAAGGATAATTAAGATATATTTATTTTCAGTCTTCTTCATCAATAAATACTTGATTATCTTTAAAATACGGTTCCTTACTTGAATTAATTAGAAGTTATAGTCTATATTCTCAGTTTAAAAGTGTTCACACATTGCCTTTTGGCATTCGTGCACATTGAACTCTGCCTCTATATATCCTTCTCTTTTTCTTCTTCCATAGTTCTCATTAAGTGCTAATTAATTACTCTCTTTCTTCTTATTCCTTTCACTCTTCTGCTACGTCTATACGAGAAGGTATGTTATGTGTAATTATACATTAATCATATTGTGTTCAACAATTCTGGTTTTATTTCTGTTTTTGAGTGTTTGTACGTTGGAGGATATAGGTTGGTCATAGGTAGGTATGTAGTAGTATTGGTTAGTTCTATTCACGTTGCTAAGTACTCAAGTTCATAATATATAAACCATTTGAAGAAAAGCAATACCGTCTTTCTTCGCGTTGACAAGGAAAAAAGAAAAACAATGGAGTAAAACTTATCAAGGAATAGCTATGACCCAATTTGTCTCCTTTTTAGAAATCCTTTTTACTAAAAAAGGTGGCGCATGTTTTCAGAAGTGCTGAATTTTTTTTAAAAATACTTTTAAAACAAATTTAATATCAAACACTATTAGAGAATAACTTTTTACCACCAAGATTTATGATGGGAAGAATAAGATCCCTCCACCCTTAATTAGATATCTCGTGTTCAAGCTTTAAGAACGAATAAAAATATTTTCCGGACTAATCTGCGCTCCTATATGGATATCGGACACGGATGGGGAACCAAAAAAAAAGATAGAACAGTTATTCAGTTTTTGCATAAACCGAAAAGTTTTCTCTTATAGCGTTAATTTGGTTGAAAAAAGTTCTCTAAATTTCTTCCAATTTTCACCTATTTTTGAAACAAACCCCTGCCCTCTAAAGTCACCCCACTCTAATAAAAGTTTCTATTTTCACGGCACACTTTTTGGGTGATTAAAAGCACCAAAAATGTTTTTTGATTTAAAAATCTATTCTTTGGGGTGATGATCGCAAAATAATTCACCCTCACCCCACCTCCAAAAGAAAGCAAAACAAGGAAAGAAAAAAGAAAAAAAGAGAAGGGATTATTCTGGCCCCATAATTAAAGAGTAGTGGTCATACTTGTAGTAAATTAAGTAATCCCTTTTCTTCCCTTCATATATATCAAAACAAATGGTGCACGGCTAAGCCAATAAATACTTAATGAAAACATTTATCCAAGTTTATTACGCCAAGCTTTTTCCTTTTTTATTTCATTTAGAAATCCAACATAAAATCTCATATAACTAATTATTTTAGAATGACTTGCTTTTTTAAAACATGTCCATACATTTCCAAAAGGGTAACTTAAGTTGAAAGCTCAACTTTCTAGATCGTATCTATTCAACGTACACAAAAGGGGCTGAGAGAGGCTGTTGTATGTATGAACAGTATAAATAATAAAAAGACCATTTGGTTTACTGACCTTTCCTCTTCATGAAAAATTGAACTTTCCTTTTTCCTATAAAGCTCTTTAAAAAAAGCTGGAATTCATGTATCTGAATAAATTAAATATGACTAAGAGTTTTCACTGTTTCAACTTTAAGATAGAATATATTTTGAGCTTCAAACAGGAAGCACGAGAACTCTTATATTGAGTTAATTTTTAATAGAAATGCACGCGAGATACTTTGTGTTAGAACGTTAGGTTGAACAAAGTAAATCATTTGTAGCAGAATCTCATGCCAGAATTTGTTGTGTGTCAGGTAATTATTCTTTAATTATGTGTTTGTTTCCATTTATTTTCTCTAAAGTAGATGAGAAACTAAAAATAAAAGTGTTTGCAGAACATACCGAAAGAGTAATATTTAAGCCAACCATTAGTGGTTAAAACACCAAGAGTGCTTTGATCCCTTATTTGATGAGAACGGACAGCTAATTTAAGATAATATAATTCTGGATGAATTGTGATATTCTGTACTAATTACGTACAAAGCAATTTGATCAGAAACGAACCTTTTATTCAAGAATATTCTTCCATTGANAGTTCTGAATATATATATATATATATATATATATATATATATATATATATATATATATATTTTTTATTGAAAAAGGTTATATATTTTGCTTGGAACCGTTATGATCAAAAGTTTAATAGGGGCATTGGTTGAGCAGTCCGCTCATGCAGTCCCACCTTCAAATTTTGGGTCCGCCTCTGAAAGCAGCTAAAGAAAGTTTTGATGTTTGGATTTAAGTTATTTATACTGATAATATTAAGAGATTTCTTACAATATCAGTGGAGTAAATTAATGAAAACGAACGCAGCGTCAGTAATTTCTTTTAAGAAGTATGAGGCAACTGGTGTTATCATTACTATTAGTCTATTATTATGATGTTTTCATTAGCAACACGTTAGTATATTTCTATAAAAAGTCCTTATTATTAAACTAGATTAGCTTGATTCTCAAAAGTTGTTTCTCATTTTTCTCCTGAGTACAAAAGAACTAATTAAAATGACTTTGTTAAACAAAAATAGAGTTTAACAGAAAAGTATCCCAATTGATAATTAACTAGTTATTGATTACTTGACAGGTTAGAAGATGGAATTTATGCATAGGAGGAAAGTGGCTATATCCTTACTATTATTCGCTATCCTCCTTGCCCTTAACATCACTAGTCTAGAAGGAGTAAAAGCCAAACCAGGTAACAGCCTATTCTATTTTCTATGTTTTCTTCTTCTTTTTGATCGGACTCTCTTTCAAGGGCTTTTAGAGAAATAGAATGTGTGGGTGGGTTGGTTTTGGGGGGGGGGGGGTGTTAACGAATACCCAAAGTTCAAAAAAATTAAAAATTTAACCATCTCTTCTAACTTCAGATAGTTTGGGTCCAAATTAAAGTCGACAATCTGAAGTTTGAACTACAACAATCTAACTTCAAATTTCAAGTGTTAGGCTATGCTAGAAGCAAACTTTGGGAATATTTTTGTCCAAGTTTTATTTACTTATAACAAAATGGCCACACATTAAATAGTATTTAAAAATTGAGTATATTTTAAACGATAAATTACAATGCTATTTCTACGATAGAATGTATTTATCTGCATGCAGGGAAAACATGGGGCGAGTAGACAAGTTTAGAGGAGTTATTAAATCCAGCTTGGGACCTATATTACAAAAGATGAGATGATAAAAACTTTTAAGAAAAAAAGAAAAAAGTAAAATAAGATTTATTTTAAGAAAGTCAATAAATTTGTTTTAAAAGATAAATACGTAGGCGTCATTTGTAGTGATTAATTTCTTTTAAAAAAAAAACTCGGGCTAGGGAAAAAAAAGGATCTTATTGGCGATAAAAGTACACACAATTATGTAAAAGCCACCTAGTTGAACTACTATAAATGAATTCTGTTAAGTTTATTTGTAAGTTATCGATTTGTATGATTTCCAAAGCTTAATATATATATATATATATATATATATATATATGTGTGTGTGTGTGTGTGTGTGTGTGTGTGTGTGTGTGTGTGTGTGT